CTGTACCTAAACAATTTCACACCAATTTTATGCCTATTTGTGACCTCAAATCGGTCCCTGTGTAAGGACAGTGTGTTCATGAAAACAAAAACATCTTTAGTTTTGCCTATATTTCATCTGAGCATTCACCATAAACAAAGAATAAACCTTAACTATCAAGTTTATTAATGTTTTTTTGTTATTGAAGGAGTTCAGAAGAGCATATAAATTGGTCGAATTGTTCAGGTACAGGTTCAGGTCCGGACCTGTACCTAAACCTGTGTACCTGTACCTGTACCTGTACCTAAAATTTGTTTAGGTACACAGCTCTACATATCATACCACACCATGTTAGATCATTTCTTCAACTGTACATTTCATAATGAAGGAAATTGTTTTCTTGCCAAAACTTTTTCTCATTCGCACACTCGCATTAGTTTGGGGTTCCCAGAGGTTGTCATCCATACCTTTCACCAGAGTCTTGGCTGCCAGCCGGTGTAACTGTTTAGGATCAGGGCTGTCCTCTGCACTCGGCATGTCCTGGTCCTGTGGCTGTAAGGTCGGGTTCAGGGTGTGTGTGATCTCCTCCTGAAGGACCCTGACCACTCAGGGTGACCGACCCTTCTGTACCAGCCACCGGCAGCTACATGTAGGAAAAGGAAACTTTAGTCTTAGGTCGTGCTGTGTTCAAATTGTACCTAAACCCACATTCAGGTCCATGTCTAAAGGTTTTAAGTTTCACTCACTCACTCACTCACTCACTCACTCACTCACTCACTCACTCACTCACTCACTCACTCACTCACTCACTCACTCACTCACTGAGTCACGCACTGAGTCACTCAATCACTCAGTCACTCACTCAGTCACTCACACACACACTCAGTCACTCAGTCACTCACTCACTCAGTCACTCACTCACTAACTCACTCACTCAGTCACTAACTCACTCAGTCAGTCACTCACTCAGTCACTCAGTCACTCTCTCACTCAGTAACTCTCACTCAGTCACTAAATCACTCAGTCACTATGCTATGCCCAGGTGTCTATTGTTGTAGGTGGACCACACAAAAGGCAAGGATCAGGGCGTTCTGCTAGGGTCATTCTGCTTACTGGAACTAGCATTACATGTACAGTGTATCACCTGGCTGAGAATGTCCTGTAAGATAGTGAAATGCGTTCCCACCTGTCCCTGTAGCTGTGCATACATGATGAAGCGGTCCCCACTGAAGATAGGTGGGGGTGTGGAGGGGATGGGCACAGCTGTCACCCCATCAGGCAGCTGCCAGGTCAAGCCCACACCTGTCACTGTCGGCTGAAGGGCACAGCTGAGCAGCCGCATCACCTGTAGGGTGGGAGCAGGGTCAGGGGTGCCAGAGCATACGATGCAATTTTACGGAATACAGTGCAATCGTATTAGTATACAGTGCAATTTTACGGAATACAGTGCTATTTTACTAATGACGTTGAATCACGTGACTAATAGACCCGTTTTTCCGGGTATGCCGCTGACGTAGCGTACTCAAGCATTTCTGTGTTTGTCAAGCGATCTTTGACCGTTCTCGTAGATAGACCTTTAGTCAAATCACTACATACTACACACAGGGCATGTTACTGCACAGGGATCATTTCGAATTCCCTCGAAAAAGACAAAAATATGTGAGTCTAGCGGCGTCCGCCATCTTGAAGCTGAAGAGAAAGGGTTCAAGTCACGTGATTCAATGTCATTAGTAAAATTGCACTGTATTCCGTAAAATTGCACTGTACACTAATTAATACGATTGCACTGTATTCCCTAAAATTGCACTGTACACTAATTAATACGATTGCACTGTATTCCGTAAAATTGCACTGTACACTAATTAATACGATTGCACTGTATTCCGTAAAATTGCACTGTATACTCTGGCACCCCTGAGGGTTGGGACATGATAGCAGCATATTTACTGTATGTTTTACTTTAGCAGTCTCTCATGATCAGGAACTCTGAGGGGATCAGGGCTAGAACAAACAGACTGTATAATTTCTTCTTACATTGCTCAATCCGTCTATACAAGTCAAATGAAGGCTTAGTGTTTCTATGTATTATGTATTTAAGTTAGGTGTTTGTGTTGTTTGCATTGTACTTTTGCTAATTGCTTTGTGTTTACTATTTGTTAGGTCAACGCAATTCAGCTGTATTATGTACTGCTGCTACATTGATTTTTATGATTAAAAGTTGAAAGTTGAGCAGTTACATGCTAAAGCTAAAGAGTTAAAGCTAAAAGCCTGTCAGAAGAACATACTGTGCCTGCACAAAACCTAAACATATTTTAGGGTTTCTGTTTTGTAGGTTGCAGACAATATCTTTTTCAACACAGCAAATGAAAACTACAGACAGAATGTCGTTCTTGAATATGTGAGATACAAGCTGAAATGAGGTATTCTGTCAAAGTGTCAATTTAAAAAAAAGTTCAAACCCCGGCTGGGTCATACCAACGACTTTCTCTGCTTTATAATTAGCTGCACTCAGCACATATGAGAGGGAGTGTGGGAAGGTCAAACACACAGCACTACTGTGTGTCGCCCAAGGGCTACGGAAATATGGACATGGACACAATCCCTATGCTCTGCATAGAGCACGGGAGACCTAAAAAATAGTACATTCCTTTTAGCAGATTTGATGTGGGCGCTTCTACATTGTAAAATGTAGGTCATGTGCTGAGGTTTGACCGACAGTGTGATATGTTCCGAGATTGATAGATTATACTATATTTCGGTACCTTTGCCTGCAGTCTGTCTGTTCCTGACACAAACTCGGCCTTGCCTCGCCCTGCTCTGGCCACTCCCTTGACCAGTGCGGTGGACGCACCCTCACCGATCCCCACAGAGAAGCACCTGTCAGAACATGGTCAGTCATTGTGAGATTGGATTGTTGCAGGGTGGGAGCCAGCATGGAATTTTTCTTTGTCATCACGGCTTTGTTTGACATAAGGCCACAAAAGAAAACAGTAAACTAGAAAGGCCAACATTTGCTTCGGAGCAAATGTAATATTTCACTCCATCTCCCTCCCCATACAAAAATAGAAGATTCTGAATAAATCATACTGCAATCATACAAGGACAAGCTTTTTGAATCTCGACAGATATTTACAAAAATGGCACTTGGCCATTATCTCCCTTTTTTTTACAAAGATACAACGACAAGCACTTTAAATCTCGACAGCTTTACTTTACACTTATCTCAATTTCAAAGTTACATATTGCAGGTATCTAAATACTACTAAATGACGAAATTGCAACTACTACTAACGGTAGCAAAATTTTCACGGTCTGAGAAACATGGACATGTTCACGGAACTATATATTCACGGTGGTGACAGTTGCAGGAAAAAGAAAGTCCAGGAATTATTTCCTAACTGTAAAGATAAGTTCACGGTACAGAGGTGACAGTGAAAACCGTGAACATTGACCTCCTGCTTGCGTTACGTTGCGGTACAGTGAAAAAAAAATCGGGAATTACAGTAATCAATTTACAGAGTATGTTTGCTTAGTTTCCAGATGTTTTGTATGAATGTCGTAAACTTAGTTTTAAATTAACGAAAACCGATGCGCGCACAGATGCCATCCATACAATCAAATCAACATGGCCTTATTAACAATCACATAAACTATGAAGCCATACATTGAATAAGCTATACATATAATATGATTATCATAACCTTTATTTTTAAAATCATGCCAGTGAGCTAATTGCATGTACAGAGTGAAAGAAAGTAAAGTAAAGTAAAGCAGTAGAATTTCTGTACTAAGCTATGATAGTACTCCATATGATTCGTCCTCATCGTCATCATTCAATGTGGTCTATCTCTTGCTACTAGTGACTGGTAATACCTCTGTAGATTCTTCACACTGGCAGAGTACCGTACTCATTCTCTCTTGTCAGCTCCATACTTTTGTGACAACATCAAAGTGATTTTGGTTTGTATGTTGGAAAAATACAAAAGACTAACATTCTAAGTTATTGACATTCTTGAGTAAGAACAATCAGTTTTTGAATGTTAAAAGCAAAACAACGAAAATCAAAAAAAAAATGTTGAAATTGTTAAAATGCAGGATTGTTAAAATTGTTAAAACTGATAAAATTGTTAAAACTGATAAAATTGTTAAAAATGATAAAATTGTTTAAAATGTTAATATCCGATGCACTGGGGTTCGAACTCACAATTTCTGGGATTGCCGTCTGGCGCGTTACCAACCGAGCTAACTCGTTGCGATACACATCACTCACTGCATTGTATGTCATATAAAGTAAACAGCATGGCGGTATCGATCGCCTCAAGCCACCAAGACTTTCAACTATTAACTACGGGGTTTCCTTCTTTATCAGGTTTGCTTTTGAACCACCTTGATGTTACTTAACTATCAACCCGGCTAGCAGAAGCCGCCGGCTCCTTTGATATTACAGCCGCTCCCTGTCCAATCTTGTTTACACGCCGGGCGCAGGTCATTGACCTCCAACTTGCGTTGTTCCAACAGAGAAGAGCAAAANAAAAAAAAAACGACCTAGGGGTATTTACCCACTCTACCTTTATACGAAATTCCAGGTCGTTTGGCCCAAAAATGAAGGAATTGAATCAATTTAAAGAAATGGCAGGAGGAGAAGAAGAAGAAGAAGGAGGAGAATCATCAGTAAAAACAGTATTTCCCTCCATACTTAAGTATGGAGTGAAATAAAAAAATCTCATTATAATGATAAGATTAAAAATCATACTGTACTAGACATTGTGGATTGGAACCAAATTTTATAACTTATGGGCACAAACTTAAAGCAGATATTGGGCAGGCGTCACAATTGCGTTGCACAGTAGAGGCCCCAAAATTGGAACATGATTGTAGTGCCTACTAGTTAATATCTTTGAAAATTCCTTTTTGGCGACGTCTCAGGGAGGAGCATAATGGTACAGTATTGTGTGTGATCTGCAAGAATTCTAGTAATTCTCTAGGAATTTTGTCCACAGGAATGGAATGTCCACAGGCATTTCTCTGACCTACATCTATGCCCACATTCCTGGAAACCTTGGGAAGACATGTATGTCTGCCCCGGATGGCTTCTTTCTGTGACCCCGGGGCTCGTTCACTCAGGGGAGGAGTGCACTGTATCTGTCTAGACTTAACAGCTTCCTCAAAATCATGAAATGATGGCAGTGCCATGCAAACAATAACCCTAAAAGCAACCACCGTCGCCATGCCAATGTATGTTTTCATTGCTAGTCTTGTTGAGATTGAAATGTGAGAAAGTAATTTTCATGAGGACTTGTTTCAGTGTATTTAACCATAGGTTCCTATGGCCATGGCTAAAGGTAATTGTACTCAGTCTACCCTAACATCATACACATGGTGTGCGTACACACACACACACACACACACACACACACACACACACGAGTACACACACACACTCTCACCTCGCAGAGTCGGCATGCTTCGCCACCTCCCTTACACATGCTTGTGTGTCCCATACTTCTCCATCAGTCAACAGGAACAGCTGTATTAAAAAAAAGCACACCACTACAGATCGATTATGCTACAACATAGGATTAAATATGACATGGGGATCATTTCTATGAGGAGCTACAAGGTACAAAATGTAATGTAAACACAAAATGTAAGTTTAGATTTAGTATGTAAAATACATTTTGTAAGATGATCAAAGTTTTTAAAATTTTTTGATAGTGTGCATCTTTTTTTCTGCCAAATTGAAAAGTTGCTTTCCAGGGGTCAGCCTACATGTAATTACTGTAGCTGGCAGTCCCCCAAAATACAGTTGTGTAAAAAAGGGCTCATTTGCAAAAACTTGATACTGTAAAACACTTAATATAATTGCAGAAGTTTTATATTCAGTTTGGCAGTTTTTGTGGTCACTTCTGTACCGCAAATTTATTATCATTTCATTATTATTATTTACATGTATACAGTACTGCAAACAAACAATTTGCCGACTTTCTTTCTTCTGCGGTGACGAACATATAGTTCATGACGTCCATTTTTCTCAAACCGTGAAATTTTGCTACTGTGAATATAAAGTGATTGACAGTGTATTTTCCCCACCTGTCTAGGATGCCCTTCTATCGCAGGTTGTTTGTACACAAACTGTAGCGGTTGGAGGATCTCAGTTCCTCCCAAGTCTGCCTCCATCTCTTTCAGGGCCTTGCAGGCTGTTTTCAGGCTCTTGTTGTCGTACTGTTTACTGTTGCTGTAGTGCATCACACACAGTCCACATCAATATATTAATAACTAACGGTATTGCCTTTTGTACTAGCTAGTTGTTTCTGTGTCACCCCTGGTGCCAATTACTAGTACATGGTAATCATCTCTGAATGCAATATTTTTGGCGACGTCTCAGGGAGGAGCCTAATGGTACAGTATGGTGTGCAGTTTGCAAGAATTCTAGGAGTAGTACAGGCATTTTGTGTACAGGGATGGAATGTCCACAGGCATGCCCCTGATGACCCACGTCTATCCCCACATTTCCGGAAACCTTTGGGAAGACCTCTCTTCCCCAGATGCCCTACCTTCTGTGACCCCGGGCTCGTTCACTATACACTTGTTTTCAACAATGTTATTTTCATCTGTTAGGGCCAAAATATGAGCATTTTGGGGTTGACTCCAAACCTGATGATCATGAATTACCATTTTATTATTTGCATATCAGCAAAAAAAAAAAGAAGCAGGCAATTCCAAAATTGATGTGGCCTAACTTACTTGAATAAGGTCTTGTACGAGCTCCCAAATCCGACAATGTTGAAGTAACAACCAACAGGAAGGCTCTTAAGAAACAGAAGCAGGGTTTCTCGTGCGTTCTTGATCTTGGAGCCGCTCATGCTCCCGGAGCGGTCCAGGATGAAGATGAACTCTCCGCAGGTGGTGACCAGGTCATCGCGGGAAAGGTCGGGTACAAAGGTCAGCATGACCGTGTGCTCAGCCATGAAGCCTTCTGTAACAGGGAGAAAATTTGGACATTATATATATATTAAACTGTATATCACTTAATCAGGGCTTGAAATACCCATGTGCACTTAAATATATTTAAATGTGCAGTTTTGCACCAAGAGCTGGAGGGGTTGCAGGCAAAGAAGCAAAAATTACTTGGGATTTGGCACTCTCTGAGCCCTAAGGACAGACAACACAATAATGTCTTAAGCTCCTGTTCAGAAACAACAGGAGCTCCTTGACTAACTTGCATCATCCTTGTCTTGATTTAATTTTTTGGACTTTCAAATTTTGGACTTTATTTGCATATAAATCAAACTAAGTTCTCAGGTTATAAACCTGCTTTTCTCCTGCAGGTACATGTACTTTGGATGCTACCTGAAATGTCTGACCGTTTTCAAAATCATATCCAGTGGCTTGAGTAACTGTTTTATTTTTTGGCATATACTATTGCCTTGATGTCTAACCTTCAATGACATAATTTGCACATAAATATGTCAAATTGCACCTAAAATTTTTGCAAATGTGCAATTTTGCACATACATGTACCTGAAAAAAAAAGGAATTCGAGCCCTGTTTTCTTAATACGGTACTTTCACATTCACGGTTTTTGCGGTTACTTCTGTACTGTTCTGACTCTCTTTCTTCTGGTCCTAAAGCTTCCATCACCGTGAACATATTATAATAGTTCCACGAACATGTCCGTTTTTCTCGTGATGACGTCACATTTGACTCACTCCTGACATCATCACGCTTCTCACTACCAGAGTCGGCTGAGCGCGTGGATCAGACATCGGATGAAGGTTGATGACCGAAAATGTACTGTGAGTCTTTCTTTGTGTTGGGAATAAGACCGTGACTTTATGTTAGAAATGCTTATTTCAAACAGTTTCGCTTGGAAAAATGTTTCCGATGTGCAAAACGTTTCCAGTCTAAAGGGGGAAAAATGGTATTTTTATGTGTGGGTTTTTGAAACCACCTCCACCGTGGGTTTTGAGGGGTTTCGAGTGGTAAACCCTTTCTAGTCTAAAGTGAGCCTAAGGATGAAACTTTGAATTCTACCAAAAAAAAAAACAGATACAGTATTCAAAATACCTGTTCCTTGTCCCAGCTCAGTTACAGCAAATGGTCTGTGTTTGTCCTTATAGTGGACGTAGAGCTCCACATCCGAGTCAAACTTGTGGTCATCCTTCAGAGTCACCTGATTTTCAGGTCAAACAAAAGACATAAGCACATTTAGAGTATGGTATGGCTCTTCAAGCAGAGGTTTGGGTTTGGGGTTATTTTAGCGTGTTTTTAGGCTTATTTCTATCGGGGTTTCTCTTTTGCACTGGATTTTTTTCCCCACCAAACCCAGGGGTGAAAAAATTCCAGTTCAAAAGAGAAACCCTGATAACAAAAGCCTAAAAACACCCCAAAATAACCCCAAACCCAAACCTCTGCTTGGAGAGTATGGTATGGCGAATACATGTAATACACTCATTTTTGACAATCAAATTTTTTCCTATGGAACTGATTTGAGTATGATATTGTTTTCCATCCAAAATTTTTTCCTATGGAATTGATTTGAGTATGATATCGTTTTGCATCCAATATTTTTTGCAATTTACGGCCGCATTATATTTTGGTCTGATGATTTTGCAGCTGCTTTGCATGAATAAGGTGAAAAACTTCATGCGCACAAAGACGTGATCCATATTATCAAATCAACATGGCCTATAAGGCCTAGTAAGGCTAAAAAAAGAGAACAATTTGTTGGCCTCTGACCTGAGCAGAAGTTCCTCCATATGTCACGTCAAGGGAAGACTTCGGGGACTCGATCTTGTCAATGGAGTTTGGAGATGACACATTGACCTTGAGCTTGAGCACGTAAGGAACGTCAGAGGTCAAAACATCAGCGGTCGGCCCAGCCATGTAGGTGTCATCATAGACCCCAGCTCCTGAATCATACATTGTAAATTACCATTATATGAGGCCACACCAATTTAATTTCTTGGTTAACAGATTTTTCTAGAAAAAAAATGGAGCGGGCAGGCGAAAAAAATAGAAATAAAAACAGGCCTAGGCATCCTATCATATATATATATGGCCCAAAATGGTACGTTAGGAGACATGAACTTGAAGTCAACACACCAGGCTGGTTCAAATTTATGATACCAATGCATTGAAAGATAGAATAACTGTAACAACTAGGAAGAACAAGTCTTGTTTTCAACTGTTCATGGCAAAATATGAGCATTTTGCAATTGATTCTGAATTTTTTTTTTGCAAACAAGAAAAAATGAAGCGGACGAATCCGTTAACCAAGAAATTACATGTAGATTAATTTGGCCTAAGTATTATTTACATTGTACATGAAGCCATTAGACCAATCAAATCTTAAGTTTTCAGTTTACTGCCATACCTGTTAAGAGTAGGTTGGGAGATTATGTAACAAATTTATGAGCAGCTGATTAACAGTTCAAAAGGTCAGACACAGAAAATGGGGTAAAAGTCAAAACCCAAAATATTTCCCAGAAGTCTGAAATGTCAGATTTCTTTTTTGTCTTTCATAATACTCGAAATACTGGGTGCATTGTGCACTTTGGTACAACCAAAATTGGAGCTGTGCATCCAATTTTTCTTCTGTGCGTGTACCTCTGCCCCCAAATATTTTAGTCAAGGTTTACATGATTATGTACAGATATCTAACGTATATAAGTATATTCTTGACATCTAAATTTCAGAAAAAACTCTTTATTGAATAACAGTCATATTCATATGGTGCACCGCAATTTTTTTTTAGGCTCTGTGCACCTTTGCACCTACTAAAAGTGAATTTTGAGCCCTGATTTTGGTTTTCTACCTTCTACCATAATTACACCACTAACCTAGCCTCTACCAGGCTTGAGGGCGCGGCAGGAAATAGTAGAAATTGGCAAAATAGAGACATACAGTACAGCTCGCGTCAATGTTTCCATCGTGCCGCGTCAATGCCGCGTTCCCCGCGCGTTACGAACGCGTTCGGCAAATATGCATAAACGCTAACCCGCACGCGGCATAACGCGGTAGAGTTGGCGTATCGCGTAACCATAACGCGTTTCCGATCGCCAGACGAAAGTTAATGAGATGGCGTCAGATTTCATGTTTGTTTTACGGTTTTGCAAGACAATAGCGACTTGTCACCTTGAACAGCGTCATGTAGCATTGTTGGCACCTCTCTCATGTCGTTACAGAGATAGGTACAACTACAACTACAATGTTCAACACAAAATTTAGTGCGTTTATAACGTTTCAAAAGTCAACAGCCGTAAGAGAATGTATCTCACAAAGTGCCGACCGTCGCCAGGCCGACGCACATCGGGCCACGGCCCGCAGCGTTATGCAGCGGACGTGGAGTCTTGACACACAAAACTCTTCAAGAAGCCGCCAAAATTCCCCCAAATTTCCACCTAAACGGATGCTAGGCCAAAATGTCAACGTTTTATAGGGTTTCATCCGACGAAAACATTGTCGAACATTGTCGGCAAAGCGATACCACCACGCCCCCCTCCCCCAACTCACATATAACGCGCAGCCTTCCCTATAGCCGATACGTTGAAAAAACTGTCGTTTTCCAGGGGTATTTTCACACCGAATCTACGATCTTTGCGTACATCGGATAAAAACATATGTTATAGCTTTATTATTCTGACTAATGGTACGGTATCACTTTTTCAAAGTAGCAATCAACGACTACGAAATCTGACCATGCCGATCCGCAGGGGGAGACGTCGTACGGCGGTCCACAAGTCGCCGCCAAGCCGGGCCGCCCGGCGATGATAGCAGCCTCTCTGTAGCAGCGGCAGCCTGATACTTACCGTCCGAATACTTACCGTCCGAATACAGAAGAATTATCCGTAGCTAATTGATAACAGTATTATAGCATATGTTTCTGTTGGAGTCACTTTTTTCGTAATTTTTTTTCTCTCCGTCATGCTATATAATCACATTAACAAGTTACATAAGTTCAAATCAAAGGCGTTCCAAAAACGCCCCTGTTCGAATAAAGAGATATTCTATACTTCTACTGTATGCTTGATGTTATAAAATGATGTAGAATGTGGCATAATTTTTTTTAAATAATACAAAACAAGCTGACTGGGAAACTCCGGACTGGAAAAAACGGCGATCCACTATCCACAAGTAGCAGGTAAGTTGGGCTAATCGGCCGGAAGATAGGACTCAGAAACGCAGGTAAGGAGAACCGTCCACCAAGAACTAGGCGATAGCGAAAGGATATGTTTATAAACTTGTTACATTCGGCGATCGGGAGGATCGAATTACTGAAGGCACCGCCTTTTAACTTTTATGTCTCACCATGCGATACAATCCGTACTTCAAAGAGCAAATCTTGAAAGTCGTTGTACATGTACGTCGGAACGATAATGTTTTGTAAAGCGCCATTTATGATGTACACTGCATATACATATTCTTCAGAACAGAACCAATGAATAAATACAGGCATACATGTGTACTGAAGAATAATGCGACTGCGTCCAGTGGCAGTGCGTATTTGGGAACTGATTTAAGTAACTTCGTTCTCAAGTTCGATATACATCAAACCAAAAGTAGCACATGGACAAATAAAATCTGCAACTACTTTCTTTGTACAAGTAAAGAATTGTAAAGATGTAATGTAAAGAACTTTGTCTTATTCGCTAGCGAGTCAGAAGTTTTCTGTCTGCAAGACACTGGAATAATTGCACACAAACTAAACAAGGTAAGATTTCAGACAAAGGGAAGACTTGATTATATATTATAGCAGTCAAGAAGAGCTGGAAGGAAGCCTTGAGGCTGGCTGCTGACAGGGAAAGCTGGGCTACATTGACTGCCTCTTGCGTTACGAGACGCGGGAGCCCGCTATGAGGACGGAGAACCCGAGTCCACTAATAACACAATACTGAATAATGCTGGGGTCATATTTCCTGGATCACATTTCCAAACCGGGGGCCGGTATCGATGTTACATACACATGTGTAGGTCCTGTTCCCATCCAAACCTTCTCTTCTAAAGGTCGACATCACCTGTAATAAAAAAAATAAATAATTTTTCTCTGATTACTATGAAGAGCTGATGTATTTTGCATACATGTACATTTAATTCTGTTAATAAGTAATACTGACAAAACAATATACTGGCACACAAAACAATCAGCTTATTCGATCATAAAATTTGTAGCTGATTACCGTATAGTTCGTTGAAGTAATCAAGAAAAAACGGTCGTGTGCTAAGCGATTGTTGGTAACTCGTTTATACTATTTTAGCGGGAAACTTTTCATCTTCGGCTGTTCTACGTCCGCGGGCCACAGCCGGCTCGCAAGACATTACCACCGCAACGAAAGGTAAGGCAAGTGCAGCGAAACGTACAGCTTTGGAGAGTGTCGGCGATCAAGTAAGCAATGGTAAAAGATATTTGGAGACAATTTGAAGACAATATTACAATGTTGGTTTTATCGGTGGCGGGGGGGCATTTAAATGTTAACGCAGTACGTGGCTTTGTTGTTCTTTACGAAAGGCGCCGACAGTTCTAAGCTGATTGGCAACAATCATTGAGGCGGGGAAGTATTTAAAATTTGACACCGAAACCAAAGCAACAACAAAAGGCTTCTGTACCCCCACTTGCGATTCTGAACGTGAGAGAGTGGAAAGGTTTCAAAATATCTCGTACAAAGTAATGCTTATGTCACAAAATCAAAGGAATAAAAATCCCCAGCATTGAAAGATCTGGAAAGCTTCCCGCCGCTGGTTCCCACGATGCGTGGCCAGCACGTGCTCAGCGAGCTAGACAGAGTGGCGTCACGCCTTCCAAGGCAGAGACCGGACCCCGCCCACTGGTCGGGCGGCAGGACGTTTCACAAGAGTAGATTTTAAACTCCGCCCAATCATTGCAACATCCCATGCCGTGTAACGTTACAATCTACACAGCAAGTTTCACGTAGTACAGGCTGGTATAGCCCCGCTACAACATGGCATTTATCAAGATTTTATGAGATTTGTGGTACGTAATGAAACAATTTCTGTCAACCGAACCTTTGTAACAGCATGGATGTCGTCTTTGTCCGTAAGTGCATAAAAACTGACCACGCACACTCACTGGATGTTATGTAGCGGTGGTAATGTCAACTTACGTTTATTTATGTCACGTTACGACGATCAAGAGCGTTCACGGCTTGCATTTCAAATTACCACTCATAAACCCTCTTACAATTGTGTATATACTTACGGGGTCGATGAGTTATTTTCTGCCGGTGTCTTCTGAGATCGGCGCCGGCTGGCTGGCGAACAATCTTGCGCTCGGGACGTGAGTGACCTACATTTCTTACCATGTGTCACTTGACTTTATTTTAACGAAACTTGGTGTCAATATCGACGATACCCAACAGAAAGATGCTCATTTATTGAAGATAACTTTATTTCCACTCTTCAACATTCTTATCTAAACATGCTATGAACGAATCGATGTCGTTCCAAGCTCCACTTGCCGGTGTTCGCTATATTCCTGCGGCGTCGACGGATTTCAGGGAAACCCTCAAATTAAGTACGCACCCCGTCTTTGACGATTTTGAAAAGTTTCAAAACATGAGTGCTTTATTCTGGAATTTATGGTACTATCATTATCAAACGACACGAAACGTTATTTTTTCGCAGGCCTTAACCTGCTATACTTTGTACAAGCGACTCCAGATACGAGTACCCTTGATACCCTTAGTACTACACACCGCGGTATTGCCACAGTAGCCGTGCAGATCTTGTCACAGAAGATCGTAAAATTTTGACGTTGTCTTGAGTCCACGCATTTCCCACCCTGCGTGGGGTTAATCAGTACCCCTCCTACTTCCCTTTAATCTTGCCGCCCCGTGCATATGAATACCTATGAAAACGCGTTATAGTTGAAACCCTGACGCTTGGTAAACGCGTTATAGTTGAAACCCTAACGCGGTCACACCCTTCATTAACGCATGCGGAACGCGGTCTTATCGCGTCAATGCCGCGTTCGCGGTTGTCAGAGTTGGAAACTATAACGCGAGCTGTACTGTAAACATGCCGAGGGAGTTAGTCAGCCAGTTTACAGTTTGCCGGCCCCTCAAGCCTGTGGAATATAGCTATCTTCTATCTTGAGGAGCCGGTAAACTGTAAACTGGCTGACTAACTCCCTCGGCGTGTTTATCTCTCTATTTTGCCAATTTCTACTATTTCCAGCCGCGCCCTCAAGCCTGGTAGAGGCTACTAACCTGTACCGGATGAGTAGCGTGGGTTGAGAACAGCTGGGAGTACAAACTTGAGGGAGCTGTCGGCCTCCACCGGCAGTTCTGACACGTAGCTCAGCCGGATGGTAGCCGACGTTTTGGGCGGCAGATTTCCCACGCTGCACTTGAACACGTCCCCGGCGCGGTCGTCCTCTTCTAAGAGGAAGGCGCCCTCCCCGCTAGCTATGGCGTCGTCATATTCTTCCCGCGCCTGTGTTGAGTCAGAATATTACTAGTAATTTATGACATATGAAACTAGTGCTGTGTACTGGTTCACTGGACTGGTTCCAGACTAAAAATATTCATGTTCTTATGTCCAAAAAGCCCTTACAGTCAAGAACCAATTCCAGACTTACTACAAAAAAGAAAACATATCACAAGCCCCTTTTCTTTCCAAACCACCTAAAACCTTTCATAGATTGCAAAATCTATGCTGCAAAATGAAGAAAACAATTTGCTATCGGGCAAGAGAGAAGAGATCCTGTAGATAGACCTTGTAGTTAGAACTTAGAGAGTACTTGACAATGTGTAGCACAGAAGTATAACACTTGTTGCTTCTATACCAGTACCTAAGGCTATAGTTATAACACAGATGTATTACACTTGTTTCTTCTATACCTGTACCTATAGTTATAGCACAGAAGTATAACACTTGTTCTTCTATACCTGTACCTATAGTTATAACACAGAAGTATAACACTTGTTTCTTCTATACCTGTACCTATAGTTATAACACAGAAGTATAACACTTGTTCTTCTATACCTGTACCTATAGTTATAACACAGAAGTATAACACTTGTTCTTCTATACCTGTACCTATAGTTATAACACAGAAGTATAACACTTGTTTCTTCTATACCTGTACCTATAGTTATCTAACTTAGTGCATTTGGCCCATGTAGGGCGTGAATATGCAATAAAGTTCATTGTCATTGTCAAGTCTCGGTTTTCATGTTACACGTATGTGGCCACAGTTTTGCCCTTACAACAATTTGCAAGGTTGCCAACATATGGAATCTATTTTTGGGGGCGACTTACATGTACACCGGTGGGGGGTATACATGTACCAACCTGTCTGACATGACAAATTAACTGATCATCTATCTATAACCCTCATGAGTCATACACAATGATCCATAGAGCACAGCTTGTCTTTGTACAATTCAAATTACGTTTCGGGACAATTTCGGGGCAATTGGAAAATTCTAAGACCATCCACATCATTACGCGATCCATAAATCATGCTGCAGACTGCCGGCAGCCCATAATACTCTGACAAACATTTTACCTGACCAATCAAGGATTCCAAATATCGGGGAGGGAGGCCTCAAAGATGGTGCCATGCTCATGATCATGTCTTTCCCTACATCTACTAATAAAGTGGACTTCAAGTTGTACAAATTCTGTTGTCATAAACTTAATTCCTGAAAAGCAGGCTGGGACAGTCCATCTTCAGTTCGGGACAATTGAAATTTATGTTCGGGACAATTATGGGACAATAGTAAACAAAGTTAATTTCGAGGCCTGCCGCTGAGCATCTATATGTATTTCTTATCAGGTAGAAAAAATATACTAAATGGTAAATAGCTTTTTTTACCTTCTGTTTTTCTTTGACCTTGCCAATGACCCTGCGACCTTCAATGAGGGCCTCAAACTTGTACACGGCGCTCGACTCGTCCAGCGGAAACACAAAGACTGCCTCGATAGGGTTGTCTTCTTCATTCTGGTACTCCAGAGAAGACGTCACATTGGATACGTATCCAATGATGTCCACTTGGACGTCTATCTCTTTCAGAGGGACTGAAACATATGAGAAAGACGTAGCTTGTATGAAAGTCACAGTGCCTATATACTGTAAATCGCTACATAAATTTGCGGTGGGAAAATCTCACAGTCTAAGAAAAATGGGCATGTTTGTGGAACTGAAACGGAATACAGTGCAATTTGACTAGTGACGTTAGATTCACGTGATTTGGTCCGGTTTTCCGGGATGCCGCCGATGTAGCGTACTCACATATTTCTGTGTTTTTCGAGCAAATTTGGACCGGTCTCGCAGATAGACCTTTAGTCTAATCACTACATACTACATAGGGCATGTTACTGCACAGGGATCATTTCGAATTCGCTCGAATAAGACGGTCAGATATATGTCGGTCAGCGGCGTCCGCCATCTTGAAACGCATTGGAAAAAGTGGGGTCCAAGTCACGTGATTCTGTAAAATTGCACTGTATACTAATACGATTGCAATGTATTCCGTAAACTTGCACTGTATACAAGTAAACTTGCACTTAATTCCGTAAACTTGCACTGAACAATACTCCTAGTAAACTTGCACTGTATTCTGTAAAATTGCACTGTATGCTCTGGAACCCCTGAATGTACGTGTCTGCGCTGATGGCAGGATTAGAAAGTTGGCGAATTATTTGTTTCCCGTAATGATAAATTCAGACCTCAAAAAACACAAAATAATAGTACTGCAAATATCAAGTGATTTACAGTAACTGAGTGCTCTTAATTAGAAACAGCCCACAGGAATGATTGTGACAATGTGACAGACATCTCAGCCATTCCCAAGTATCAAGCTGTGAAAACTAATTAGAAACAATACTGGTATGTCTTCGTTCCATCTGTGGACAACAAAGGAATTTCTTGTGAAATATTACTCAATGTAGAACCGTTATAACAAACATTTTCTCAAAAGAGTTTTGCCCAATTTTAGATGGCAAAAAAATCCACAATGTCTTGGTAGATTTTTCCGTAATCTCCAAGCAGATCATACAGTGACAAGGCAGTACCCATTGGCCAGAGGAGTGTCCATTACAGTAGCCACCGGACACATAACGGGTACATTTGTACATAATGCGTGACCATGATCTCTTCAGTGGTCTCATCATTGCTGTGTACGACAATTTTCCTGGTTCCAAATAGCCTTAGACAGTATACATGTACATTTTTACAAGTTTAGTCTATCCCGTTTCTCTTTGGGAAGGGCCTGCGTGAGGGTCTCACTCTGTATACTCTTTTCCGTAAGGTGTTGATGAGCCTCTTTAATTTCCCGTAATTCGTAGGGAAGTTATTAACCATAATTTATAGTGAGGAGGCGAAAATTTCCCATATTTCTCTTTGGGAAGGGCCTGCGTGAGGGTCTCACTCTGTATACTCTTTTCCGTAATATAAAGCGTTCATTGCGTTAGCCAGTGCATGTCACATAAAGCGTAATCGGCCCTTAAAATTCCCTGTAAATCGTAGTCTGGATTTTTCGTAAGCCGTAACGGACGAAACAGCAACCAGCGGATAATCTGTTGGGTCAATGTCGTACCCAGGATGTATTCTAGTAGATTTCAGCCTCCTATATTGTGTATTCCGGTATATTCTGGTGTTTTCCGGTAAATAGGCTAAGACCAATTTTTAGAACTCACCTGCCTTGGCAGTCTTCAGACACCTCAAGCCATACATCTTGCAATTGTTGACTCTCCAAAAATCTATAAAACAATAGGTTCACAATCAATAATTTGAATCAAATGATTCAAAATGTCAGGAACATAGCATTATAGACATATTGACTATCGACAAATATACTATTGTAGGGTATTGGAAGAGAGAGAGAGAGAGAGAGAGAGAGAGGGTATAATAGAAGAAGGTCCGCACTCTGTAGTTGCCTGCTAGAACTGTGATTCCCAGACACTGTGGTCTGGGTACTTTGTTCATGATAATCAGATACAGATGTGGTGACAGTTATGACAACTTCCTGTCACTGGGGACGGTCTCCTAAAACACATTGCAACACTATAATATTTGAGGCATATTGAATTGGTCATGTAAGACTCTAAGAGGTAGTGAATATACAGACATAATGGCTGTGGAAAGACTGATGATTAAGATGTTACACGTCCTCGTTTCAATTTCGCTTCCTTGATCATGGAAGATCATCCTACACGCACCCTCCCCCTATCCCCCTGGCCCACACGCCAGACACCTGGGGTTGGGGCTATATATGTACCCCCCTCCCCCTTTGACAGTGCGTCTCAAAACTCTCACGTCTTACAGGAAAATACTAACGTAAACGTGACTATCTGTGACGTCTTAGAAATAGTAGTAGAAAAAAACACAAAGTTTTTAACAGGAAGTCAGGACAACGTATCAAAACAAAATATGAACTTACGACTTTGACAGTGACTTCTGGGCCGCTAGGGCAGCTACGTGAAGCTAGCTAGGTTCTACCATGGAGGTAGAAAAATCTTTTACCTCCATGGTTCTACCTAGCGCTAGCTGAACAGGAACAGCAACTTAAAGCGTCAGGCTGGGCTGCGAAACATGTGAATAGCATGCAACATCAGCTTTATTTTTGTCTGATGACAGCATAGCATAATTTGCCCAGGCCACACAAAAGGCCACGACACTGCCTAAGTCACGCCCACCAATACGTGTAGCTTTCGTGTATGCAAATTGAGTGGGCGTGTCCTGCAGGTGACACGCACCACATGTGATCTTGTTTATGTTTATACGAACTGCCACCTTGCGATTTTGAGAGTAAACGCAAGTTAATGTTGCGGAGAGAAACGATGGGTTTTGGTTTATCAGGACAAGCATGGGCTTGATGGGCAAGATCACGTCCACCGAGACTCTGGCCTGGCTCTAGGCCTGGGTAGTATACGTTGTAACTCCGGAGGATGGCACCCAGGCTAACGAAGCTCCACGACTCAAGAACTCATATGTACAGTGCCGATTCAATTTTCACGAAAAAGCCAGCATGTGCCGGTGTGACGGAGATCTCGCACCCCCTGATTTTGCACCCCCCCGGGGCGAGATCACTAGCGATCTCGAACCCCCCGGGGCGAAATCGCTAGCAATCTCGCACCCCCCAAGCTAGTGTTTTCGCACCCCCCAAACTAGTGTTTTCGCACCCCCGTTCCGGGGGGTGCGAGATCGCTAGTGATTTCGCTCCGGGGGGTGCGAAATCACTGGGGGTGCGAGATCTCTGTCACACCGGCTTGTCGTATACGTCGCTATGTACTGCGGCAAATTCACAATACCAGCTTTGCATTCCTGTGCCACTGTGGTTTAGTAGCAATTTTATTTTTGGCCGACTTTTTTATCCGCCCGCGCGCACTAGTTTGGGGGTCTTCAGATGATGTCATCCATAAAATTAAGACGGCGTGACCTAACTGTGAAGTTTTCGCTCCATAACGCTCGAAAAAAATCTTTTCTTTCCGCTTGTTTAATTGATTTCAATACGTTAGATCCTATAGATAAATTCAACTGCATTATTCTCAGGGGAGATAACCAATACAGTGTTCAAATAGGAAAATACATTAAAAATGTTTCGATTTTAGAGACCACATATTAGAGAATTGTTAAACCTTTATTGTTACAGCATACATATATATACTCTGTACGTAAGACGACGTTATCCACACATGTATTTAGCTTTGTTAGATCTTTAGTTGTAGAAGACCATGCAAATGTCCCGGTACTTTTTTGTTGTGTCAATAAAGAATCTCATCATATAGCTACCTGCGTTCATAAAAACAAATACAGAACGATAGAAAACTCTGCGCGGTAAGCTACGCACAAAATGTAGGACACCGTTCGACAGGTTTTCTGCAGGACAGCCTCTTAAGGGCAAAGTTCATATCAGTTACGTCATAACACACAACACTACTCATTTCTTCTTCATAAAATTATAAATAATCTTTAAGAAGACGATCCGAGAATCATAATGGGGTGAGTGGCGTTATTATTATCATTTTTCAATATAAGGCTACAAGAACTTTCAAAGATAGTTGATTTGATTTTGTCTAATTCATGGATCTCTCCAAATCATATTACGAATTTCTAATGATGTTCTTCAAAGTGGGCCTTGATCAAAGCACTGACACTCAAATATTAACGGTCACTGCAATTCTTACAGCAAATTTTTGACATCCAAATGTCTATTCATGAAAAGAGAGGGTTTGAAATACAGTTCAACCTCTCTATGTGAAACGAGCCTGCCACATATATTCGGGATATGAGTCCTCGACCTACATATGCAATGTAGCATATATAATTGTCTCAGTATATGGATAAAATGTACCATTTCCTGCTGTACATCTGTATTAGCGTATATTTATCATTGAAGAAATGTATAGATAAGACTTCTGGTTATCCGATTTATGTACGTTGGCTGGTATGAGTATGGAAATAACTTCAGACTTCTAAGAAATGATCTATAACAAGGATCTTGATAGTCGACGCCGCGGGCACTGGTCTTTCTTCGTTATGCAAAGAAACATTCAGTGTTTGCAAGTGCCTCATTTAAGGTGGATAATACTATATATGTTTTACAGAAAATTCAAAACCGAATATTGTAAAGAAATTAGAATAAATATATATATATATTTCGAACACTGAGACTTCGCGCGCTGATTGATGTCATCCATAAAAATACTTTCTGTGGCCTAACTATATATACATATATAGATCAATACCACTTATATATATATATTTCTTTTTATTTCATTTTTAGCATTGCATACCTTAGACCTAATGTTAGCCTTTTCTTTATTACTATTGTTGTAGTACTCTATAGTACATTGTACTTTGTACATTCATGCATTTATCCCTCGGGGAATGAACATGCAATAAAGTTTCAATATAACATATTCATACAATTTCACGGATCATTTTAGTGATAGTATTCCTACAATGTTGAAAAACAGGACCGTGACAGAATGGCTGTGTTTGAATATCTCTCTGCCCTTAAATTTACAGGTTTCGGGTCTGTCTACTGTTGATGACGCTTTTTCCGATGAACGATGCACAACTAAAACTGACTGTTGATGGTAAGAATCAGCCACGATCATTCCAGAGTTTACACTGTTAAACTTACCATGTGTGCAACCTCCATATAATAAATATTGTACTCATATGAGTACTCTCCAAGCAGAGGTCGGTGGTGGAAGATCGATTGCTTTTTGGCGACGTTTCAGGGAGGAGCCTAATGGTACAGTATTGTGTGCAGTTAGCAAGAATTTTGTCCACAGGAATGGAATGTCCACAGGCATGTCTCTGACCCACATCTATTCCCACATTCCTGGAAACCCTTGGGAAGACCTCTCTGCCCCGGATGTCCCTACTTTCTGTGACTCCGGGGCTCGTTTGAAAACTATATAAACGGGATGTGATTCTTAAATACGCGAATGCGACTTTTTGTCGAAGTATTATGCACAATACGTGAGCTAATTGCACAAATATATTGAAAAGTGAAAATTATAACCAAAATCAATGCCCCTCTAATTTTATGACGGATTTTTTTTGCTGTATGGGTTAATTATGAGGACGTCATTGACTTTATTGACACAACAGCGAATTCGTAAGAATGTCATACTGACTCGACTGTTACTATTGGGGTTGTTCTAGACGCCTGTCTAGTGAGGCCGAAGTACGGCCCTCCCGGTCACGGAAAAGCCCTGCGGCCTCCATGTGTCAACTATGACGTCTTACTACCGGAAGTGACAAGCCTCACCGAGAAACTCCCAGAGTCCCTTGCGGAACTCGGCCTAAGTGACGTGTTAAAAGACCTGGAAGAACTACGAAGCGTCGGTATGAAAAAAACAACAACAACAACATTTCTGTATGGACTAATTTCACACTTCCCATAATGCCAAGTAAAGATCACGGATATGACGTATGACCACCCCCTCCCCCTTCCTCGATGTAATATTTCCAACAAGTTCTATCGACAAAATGGTCAACTATATTGTTTTTGAATTATTTATCTAGTATAAATCGCATGCCATAATTGCATTTTTGTTGGAATTAGAGAATTCTCGAAAATGGGGTACCTTCTATTGTTCTACCTTCTACCAAAGACTCTCCTACTCGCACGGTCGCATTACGTAAATCCCCTTCTTGCGTCATATCCGATCCATATCCGTGATCTTTATTAGGCATTATGGGAAGTGAGAAATTGGTGAATACAATATATATCAAGCACTTGTCTTGAAAGTTCATCTGTGTTGGTAGAAGTCATTATGAAACAATTTTGAACTGCAATTTCCAACACAAGAAATTTGACTTACCCAAATGTTCGACTGTACAACTTTAGTCTTTGTCAAGATCCACCGTTTCCGTGACGTCACGCAGATAACACACGTGACTCCGTGAGCAGTGGAACGTAGGTTGCAGAAAGTCTGTGGCGCCCCCCGTCTCTGTTGAGGGATGGTTGTAATGCCCTGATGTAGATGGCCTCTTTAACCCCATGTGCAGGATGCAGTTCAAACTCGTTTCATAATATCAAACTCTTGTTTTGTTTGTTTGTTTGTTTCGCATAACCGGTAAACCGCCTTTAGGCGTAACATACCAGTTTTGTACATGAAAGTACATGTACAAGCTGCGTAAGACCGGACTGTAAGTTTTGAACCACTCACACCGGGAAGATCCCCTACTCTTGTCGATAAGTGCGGTGGGTTCTTTAACGTGCATGGGGTGTGGCTCTCCCAAACACGGGATCTCCATTTAACGTCCTATCCGAGGGACGTCCCTAACCGAAGCTAGGTACTCATTTCCACCTGAGTGCCCCTCCCAATTAGTAAGGAACACATTGTGTTCCGTTGGTTACCGAAACCATTGGTCATATGTTAACTTACAGCTGTAACTAAACCAATTTAAACTTTTTGAAAGACGCTTTAAAATGATTCATCGCAAACCAATTTAATTATACAACAAACCAGTTAGACAACATTCGCTGTACGTTTGTACAATCCTAAGGTACTAAATCACTTGTATATGTTTATACATTTTTGTCCCGGTTAATTCAAATACAAACAAGATGAATTAACAGTATGGGTTGTTGCTTTCTAACCTAAACAGCATAGAATTCAATAATGAAAGTTTATCTGTAGTTACATGCTTAAAGTTAAAACTTTTATTTCAACACAAAAGGTAAACGTTAACGTTTTCACCGAGAGCTTTGGACCAGTCACTCTGGTCTTCCTCAGTAGACTGAGTCAGTGAGACTAGTCACGTTGCCTCACTTGGCCGCGACGGGGGCCGACACTGTTTACCAGATACCTTAAACCCAGTGGTGACGTCACACTTCAGAGAAGCCACGTGACTAGTCTCACTAGGTCAGTCTACTGAGGAAGACCAGAGTGGCTGGTCGAAAGCTTTAGGTGAAAACATTGTGCTGGAACAAAAGTTTTAACTAAAACAACATGAAATTCAGTGTACATTTCTATTCCGCTTATAATAACGGTTTCTATTAGATTTGATTGAGTTCAAGGGACCGATCGGACCAATCGACAGTGGCGAGGGGCGCAGGCGCCGTAGAGAAGCCACACACTGGAGCCGTGTGGGCCGTGTGACTAACCTGGTGTACAAGGTGGCTGTTGCGGGTGGAGAACAGTACTTTGCTTTTACTTCTCCCCACTTCGACATTCTGTTAGAAAACGACACTCTTGAGGGTAAGTAGTCATCTGATATTAGGAATAGTTTGTTATATTGACTGAAAAATGTAGAAGAAATAATGTCAATTAGTCTTAGCAAGGGGTTACAACACAATAAAGCTACTTGGTCTTAGCATGAAAATTCATCTGTAATGGTAAAATACATTATGACGAAAAGGCTAAACTTTATGCCAGCACTAAATAAATTGGGACGTTTGAGACACGTGATTGCAGTTGAGGGTCATACGTATACGTGCCAGATAACCTGAGTCAAAATTCTGGATTCAGAACTCGATTTCTTTGCAAAAGGGGTGAAGGAGGCGGTGTATATTCTGGCTAACTGCCCAAAGCTGAACAGAGACGGGGGGCGACACAGATTATCTGGTACGCATGGCTCTCTAGCTGCTGCAATCACGTGTTTCCGACGTCACGTCCCGGAAGCTGCAGTAGACGGGTCCATTCCGTGAACAAGGCTGACGGAGTGAGCCGAAAAGTCCCGATCTAAAAGTGTTGGAACATAAATTTCTAGCCCTTTGATACTAATATTATTAGTAGGCCATATGTACTCACTCAACCAGGAAACTTCAAAGTCTTGAAACTGTTTTCCATGCACCAATATCATTCCGTAGCCCCTGTTCAAAGTCTGCAAGAAGATGTGGAGGGGTTTCCTACGAACTACCCTGGTACAACCGCCGAGGCAATGCCGTCACTGGTACCGCATTTCCACGACTTGCTCGACAGCTTTAACTGTAGCAGCAACGGTCCTATAACTGTAACCTACCACGTGGAATTGACAGTGTATTACAGCTAGACGAAAACTGGTCTATCGTTCAAAGGTACGCGCTGGAGTACGAACCCGGAGGTGCTAGGAGAGCCATAAGTTTTAGGATACTCGTTGAAGCCTGGCTTGGTTTCAGAATCTTTGTTCAACTCATCATATACTAATAAACTACGCCGTATGTATACAGATAGAACTTTATTGACACGACAAAAAGTACAGTAGATATACAGACAGATATACATGGGTACAACGAAAATATGCTACGTACAGAACAATAGGTGGGTCAACTAATACTACTTGTTCTAAGGTTTAAACATTCTTTGATATATTTACCTATTTGTATACAGTAAGGGTTATTGCCTTCTAGGATGAACTATAGCATGAAATGTAACAAATTCTGTTGAGCAGGCGGAGAGAAGGTTGAACAGCTTTGTGTGTTTATCGTTATATAGTGTACAATTAAAAAAATGTTGTTCGTCTTCAATATCATTGGGACAGAATGGACAAAACCTCTGGTCGCGAGGGATTTTTTTATATCTTCCTAATTCTATATTCAATTTATGGCTAGAAATTCTCATCTTTGTAATCGATCTACGAACTTCAAAATTGTGTATTTCAGAAAGGTAATTTTCTTGTCCGTACATCTTCTTTAACATCGAGTAGAGAGAAAGTTTTGATATACACGTACAGGCGTTGAACTCTGAAGACTTTCAGTGGGGTGCCCTCTGTTTGTTTGTTTGTTTGTTTATTCGCACATGTTAACAAACAAATAAAAGAAATAGAAATTTACATGAAAGAAAAACAATGTGCAGGAGGGGGTAGGAAGCCTTCAGGGCCCTGCTACTTCCTAACTCAATTAACAAATGATAGTTATGAAATTAATCTGATAATTGAAAAAGAATTAACGGAAAAGTAAGAAAAGAAAAAAAAAATAAATGAATATCATGAGACTAATATAATAATCGAAAATTGATTAACAGAAACAAAGATACAGCAAAGGAAACTAATACATTCAGATGGTTTAACAAGGTATGTCATTAAATAGAAAGAAGATTTTACAGAACCGGAAACCATTAACTTGTTATACTGATAACACAACTGAATTATTAGATAACAAAAATATGAAATGAACATATTTAGGTATATACAAAATGTAGTACCAGTACATCTTGAACAGGCTTGGATGTTTGAAAAGAAGAGTATATCTTAAACATGAGGAATATAATTATCATCAGTGAAATAAAGGGGTAATTTGACAATATTATATTTGGCTATATATGTAACGTTATATTTATATTATATAACATATATATATAGCTTTAGCCTGTTTCTGTGGCATACTGGTACTGGTACATATCTTTGTAGCTGTCATGTAAATATAATATAATATAAATAGCCGCAGAAATCTAAGGATTTCTAAAGAAAACTGTCAACCATGTTTGTTTACATTCTGGTAGTTTATGGTGGTACCACCACAAAATGAGTGCGCCTCGTGTAGGCTGTTTTGGCGCCAACTATAGATGTCAGAAATCTGTAATAATTTCACAAATATGTTGAAAGGTGGAAGTAAAATACAGTCACATGGTGATTTCTTTCAATTAAAATATCTCAAGTTTGATGCAAAAATGTTACATACTAATAGCCCCTTCCAGTCGAAGGGCCAACGGTCGAATATTCTATTCCACTTCCGGGGTTTTCTAAAACCCGGCAGACTGCTCTGGGACCGAGAACAGCGTTGGCGGATGAACGAGAGCAGATATTAGCGTCCGACTTTAACCCTTTCTTCCCAGAAATAAACAAGACAAGGCCGGTTATGGCGGTGAAATCTTACTTACTGAAAGATAAGGATCAATTTGAGATAGTTTTTGCGGCTCATTGACCGATAGTTTACATCCGATAACGCTGTGAACTTTTGGGTGTGAGTTGAGGGGTGTTGTGGTAACCCTGACTTCTATTTTGGTTCTGCGCTCTCACCCATCTTTTCGGCATCCAATTGTGGTATAAAAGTACAGGGCAACTGTTGCAGAAAATGCACAGAAAGTTTCGTTTGGGATCATATAGGAGGTTTTAGGTTATTGTTGACCGATTGGTGTTGAAATTTATTTCTGCGACCCAGGCGTGGTGCCTGTTCCATGATTTCACAATCACAATAAGTTTGGTATCATAGGAAAGGAAATTTCATAAGCGTTTTAATGATATATGATACATTGAAATTGATAAAGAAACAATGGAAATATGATGGAACAAAGTTGAGTAATCCAAACTTTTTGCGCCAAGTTTAGTTCCATGGTTACCGCTGCAGAGCGGCCGCGTTCCAACACCGGGGCGCTGCGGTCTAACGTTCACTGGTCTATTTTGGTCCCGCGGTATCAGTCATTAACAGCGTGTAACTTATCAATCTATATATGAAAATAAATCTCGTCTATTTTGGTTCTGCGCTCTCTCCCATTAAAAACGGTATCAATCTATATATCAAATTAAAGCTCAGATTTTAGGGAATCAGCACACACAGTTTCAAGAGGGATTATCAATCCTATCTGCTGAAAGCAACCGTACAAACATGGCCGTAAAATTAGCAGATTTCAACGCACAATTACTACAACTTTTATTCATCTCTAACAAAAATCTTTAACACGGTCGGACTCGTCAAAGCCTTGTCCTTTTGCTTGCCAAAATTCAAAAAGAAACACCGAGCCATGTTTTTACCACGCGTGTAAACGTTAAGGGTGTTTTCACGGCGGAAGCCCCCCGCGTCAAAATCGCGCTTTTACAAAATAAGCGTGTTCTAGAGCATTGGCCCTTCTGCTTCAACCCAAATGGTATCTTCTTCACCCGATTTGACCCCACGAAGCCAGCGCATTCGAACTACGTTCTGTTCGAAGAATTACGTTCTACGGTTCGAACGTTCCAGCTGACGTTTTGCCCAAACCGTGAAAAGAGTCAAGATGGCAACCGTTGAGGCTACTACCGCCGATGTTCCCAACAAAAAGACTTCACACAAGACCCTCTGGCAGTGGGAGAACACAACACGGCGGTTAGGTTTCCTAGCTTTCATGGGAGTGTCGCCTACTGTGGACAGGGAGACGGTTCAGGTAGGAGTACACAGTTTTCGCCCTATGTGGATTTCTATAGTTAAGGAGCCCAACATATGGTGAGAAGGTTCAACGCTGTAAAATTTATGGTAGGCTGCACGTACAAGCAAGTTACAAACATTCAATGTTTGGGTTAAGGGTACACCCTACAAAATATGTGAAAATCAGCTCAAGTTTGTCGGCTCGTTCTCCCATAAAACGCTTTTATTTGGCGCTTTGCGGGGGTCATGTGAACTGCAGTCTACTATGTCGTAACAAGAACCTAAAATTTAATGCGTTCCTCTACAATTCAGCATAGTTTTCACCTCGCTAATCTGCAAGAAAGAACATCGAAAGCTTTCTCAAGTACTGTGCCGCACTACTTTGTGCCCGGACTACTTTTGATTATGGGGCTCGTCCATAAATACTGTGTTCTGTGACCTTCAGGGGCTGTACGAAGAGGTGGAGAGAACGGCCGAGGAGTATGTAAACAACATCTCCGTGGATCCTGTGCCCTGGCGCGGTGGAGAACGTCTGAACAAGCGGCACTTTGGAACTGTAGTTGAGGCCCTGGCCGCTAGTCCTCACGGTCTACTTCGACCTCAACATATCCTACAGTTTTTCAGGTAAAGTGAGTTTATTTCATCGATGTATCACAAGATTCTTTCCTCAGAACGGCATAAACCCCCCACCCCAACGTAAATAATGACTACTGTTACAACATTAAAATCAATATATCATATGTGATTAAACATGATTATATGTAAGTAAACCGGATTTTGTTCAAGGAAATTTGCTTTCCCTGTTTTATTCAGGAACCGCTACCCAGACCTCTGGCGACAGACAGGTAGAACTGCAGCAACGGCGGCAGTTGTGGTGAGTACGAGTATTGTAAATTCCTTACTTCCGGTAGAAAGGAAATATGTTTTTTTTTCGTTAAAACAATTCTGTAGAATAGCAGTCATGAAATGTAAAGGCCTATCAGCAGGGATGAAACCACCATGAACGTTTTAAAATTGACAGTGCATGTATTTACTTGTATTATCGCGAGAAATAGACTAACGAACATAACGGCAAATATTCAACAAAGCTATCCCTGTATTTAACAATGAAAGCTCTCTCTCTTTCTCAGTCTACTGGAGTACGAGTCTTTAGATTATAAGATATTCACTCAATAAGGACAGTCCGAACTTTTCAACGTCGATTTATGTCACTTTAGATCGATGAATTGACCTGAAATTTAGGATTCGTAAATGGGGGAAACAACAGCCTCCACATTGAAATGCCTGTGTCATTTCGTGATGTGTTGTCTTTTAAAAATGTTCCATCTATTCTCCATGGATGTCATCTATATTACTACACTCTTAACCTTCCAGAAAGCCATCCATGTTGTCCTGTCAAGTCGCAAGTTATTACAAGTCGAAGCGGACGTTGACCCCGTGACGTCAGACCGTCGTGTCGTCTTCTTCGCCATCGACTACCAGAGTTACCCAGACGCCCCCGCGCCAGGCACGGCCCTCCGAACGCCACAGGATCATGAAGACGACTTGGGCGGGGATGAAAATATATCAACTTCCGCCAGAGGGCGTCGTGACACCGTCAGTTCTCTCTCTGATGAGTCTGGTGCTCATGACAAGACCCCGCAGAAAGTCCACCTGGCGAGGTCTATTCTCAGGAGAGCGTTAGAGGAATCCAACGGACAGAACCAAAATAACGTTCCGCAAGGAAATATCAAGCGGCGGTGGCAACAAAAAGGAGTCCAACTGAGCCCTCGTCACGGTAGGAAAGGGACAAACCAGTACGAAGTGGCAGACCCGAACACCCCCACTTGTTCTGCTGATGGTACAGTCAGCACCAAGGACGGGGACAACAACAGACGTTGGCAGGAGTATTGGGGCCGGTGTCTGGAGCAGGAGGCTCCCACGTACGCGTTCGACCTGGTCGGCTACGTGTGTGAGGAGCGGCTGTCACGTGGATTCTTCCCCAGGGTCGTCAACGTTTTCCCGCGGAATTTACTGCGAACTGCCGAGCAGGCTGTGACGGAATGTCTGGCTAATGTCGAGCTGTAGAGCCTGGAAAACAACGCCTCCTGGCGATTTGTTTGAGAAGCACAATCAACCACAATGGTTAAGTTGTGACATGACGGTACCAAACACAGTCAGTTTCTGTTTTTCCCCCTCAAGAAATTTTAGTGTTTTGTACTGGAAATGGAAAGACATGATCCCATTGAATGCACTAACTAGTCTTATTCACGACATTTCAAACTATTGCCGCTAGTGGGCACTTTTGTTAGTTCAAATGTGCAAATCAACTGATCATTACTAACTAAATCTAATGTACATGTATTGCACAACGATTGTTCAAGGTACAGCTAGTGATCTTGACTGTTATACATTCATATGCATACTGTGAGATCTAGACTATTCTATCTTACAAAAGCTTTCTAGTGTATGCGATCAAAATATGCTTTTACAACTGTAGGTATAATTTCTAGCATTTAGGCATGTTTGTTTGGAATATTTTCAATGCAGCAGTTTAAAGAAATTGGACTTTTTTCAAGGAATGAGAGCACAGTTACAAAGTGTATGCTGAAAGTGCGAGCAAAGTTCTGGGGGTACATGTTAAAGGTACCAAATATTAGGTAATAAGGCGTTTCCATAGTTGTGTCTAAAAGGGATTTTGTTAGTCTGAAACTACATGTAGTAGCAAAAAAAAACCTCCAGTTTTTCACAATTTTAAAGCTGTAAATGCCAAGTGGTTCTAGGGGTGCCACTGCCTATGGTTTTTCTCGCCATTTCTCGCCCAAATCTCGCGATATTTCATTGTTTGCGCTTGGGCCCTTGCTTTCATGATCAGTATACTTTGGACACCAGAGTAGTAAATAAAAACCAACAATCATCTCTTTTCTTGCTCAACACATCATCCTTGAATTGCTTGCTTCAGGTCTTGTCTTAGTATTTCCCGACACTTTCCTCGACATGGCATACTTTAGTAGAGCATCCTACTGGCTGTTTTCTTTGTTGTCCCGTAAATTATGGTCATGGATTTTTGAGGCTTCTTTATTCGTTGCCTTTAAGTTAATAATGTATCCAAGAATTCATGGCTCAATGAAATATATCATCCAGGTGTTTCACAAGGTAAGAAATATTTCTGTCAGGTCTATGAATTTTGGGGGGCTTATCATCCAGTTGCCCGAGACATCAACAATGAATAAAGACTTGTGTCGAGTCGTTATGAATAGACCTGAATCGTGAATGATGGCTACAAAAATCGCAACAAATACATATTTACACAAAATAAACGGTAAAAGATATAACGATAAAAGTATATGTCGCACGTTCTAGTTTAGACATAGTAAATTATGTCAGGAGTAAAATGATGACAATTGGGTTTGAACCATATACTGTGTAATCACCCTAAGCCTTGTTTCAGTGACCCTAAATTAATATGTAACGTGTCTGCAAATTACAATTTTGCAGAAGAAAGTCTGTGTGACTGGTTGCAATACTAGGACAACGTTAAAGGTACAGGCCCTTCTGGAGGATCTGCTGAAGTCCTCTGGGTTGAACATGACGGTTGAGTCTTACCACGTCACGTCCAGACAGGCCCTGAAGTCGGCTGACTTTGGCGGGGCTCGGTACATCGTGGTGTGTCCGACTCGGAACCAGATGAACTCTCAGATGTTGTTAATCAAGCAGAGTGGAGACTTTGTGAGTGTTAGATTAAAGTATTTTCAAATTCAAATTGTCAGACGTATCATTCCTCACGTTTCCCGTATGTTCTGCACTGCATCGAATTCAATATCAGAATTGCAGTTCACTTAACTTGAGTGTAATTGAGTTTTGGAGAGAGAGAGAGGGGGGGAGAGAAAGAGAGGGAGGGAGAGAGAGAGAGAGGGGG